GGCGCTATCGGTATCTGCCACCGCCGCGGGGCCGGGGGGCGCGTTTTGTGACTGGTTCTGCCTCCGCCCGGGCCGGGGAGGAGCCCCGCGGCTGAGGGCGAGACGCTAACAAAGAAACTGGAAAGCCTGACGCGCCAGCCGCTCCTTATCAGTGTGGTTGTTTTGGGGGTTTTTTGGTTTTTTTTTTTTTGCAAAATCAAACCGTCATCGAGAATCCAAGAGGGATTCAAAGCCTTCTATTCAGTTTATAGATTTTGCAGTTTAGATTCTGGAAGGAAAGGGTTTTCAGTTGTTGTTGACAAGCTGAGTTCCACAACCTCCTTTTCACTGCAGCGGTGCACAACGCGGTGCAGCAGTGCACTTCAGCGGTGCTTGGCAATCCCGCCTGGGAACCTATTGCCTGTTGAATACTGTCTGCGTATCCTTCTGTATGTTTACACTGCAGGAGTTAATTATTTAAAAGAGTTAATCCCACTTAAGTTGCTGTAAGTATGTAAGACTGCAGAGCTAGCATTTAACACTCACTTAGAGTAGTTACTGCAAGTAGCCCCTTCTTTCTTTTAACTCTACCTTGACAGCAAAACAGGCTACACACTGTATGTATACACACTGAGATACAGATTTAATTACTGCCCTAATCTCTCACCTACTGTGTCTTCCTTGGATTTGACTGCGTGTGTTAATAGGCATAAACAGGGTTAACTTCAGATCCAGAGGGGCAGATGAACAAGCAATGAGTGACAAGAGAATGCCCACTTTGAAAAAAAATACTTTAAATAGCAAAAGCCTATGATGAAAGGTAAGGAAAGTTCTCAACCAGAAGTACTTGTTCTGTGTTATGAACAGGCCAGACCCTGTGCTCTGAAGTTAGAGGGCATATTCAAGCCCAACAGCTTAAATTTTACAGCTTTTTTTTTTCCCCACTTCTTGCTACCTCCCCCTCATGATCCCGCCTGATTTAACACTCTCAGTTTACTGTTACATTGCAGCTGAATTTAAGACTAAGACATCATACCTAGACATTGTAACAGCTTTACCAGCAGTTTTCATGCTGTTTGAGAACAAACTTTTTTTCATAAGAAACAACTTTTGAAGCTATTTGCAGCCAAGAAAGAATTATGAATACATTTCTGCTGCAGAGAAGATGAGGGGAGGGATCATACAGATGTTTGTCAGAAAATTCTATGAGCCACCCATTGAAAGGAGCCTGTACTTTTACTCCTGGTAGTCCCCATCATTTTGGGGAAAAATAGCGTATAATAAACTTATATTGGCACTAAAATAATTTGACCTGGAAGATTTATTGGTGAACTTACCAGAACACTACTGCACCAGCAGCCAAGGTACTTCTAATGGGCAAAGAGGAATGAATTAGGTGTTCACACAGTCAAATAAGCAGAGAGAAGCCAGATGGTTAGTACACAACTAATTTGCACCTACTGCCTTGCACACAGGAGATAAACAGTCACTATGTACAAGCAGTGACAGTATGGCTTTTTACATGCCTTCCTTCACTCAGCTACATTTCTGGGAGGCAAATTTCCATGGCAGTTTGCATTTAAGGTGATTTTCTTTTTCTTTTCTTTTTTTTTTTTTTTATAATCAGGTTTTGTAAGGTAACTAAAGAATTTGAACGTATGAGAGCCACATCTCAAGATATACCAGGAAGAGTATATTGTTTACATTAAGGCTGACTACTGCTTATTTACAGAGCAGGCTACAGAGGCTTTTATTAGCTAGAGCACTGCAAAACAGCACATTGCCCCAGTATCAGCTAGAACTGGTATGTACATTACATGAAAGAATCCTGCAGTATGTGCATCAAAACTCTTTTCCTCCACCTGTTTGTTTGCTTGTTAAACATACAGCATTGTCCCCTTCCACAGGTGTTTAATATAACTCTTCTGTAAAGTGTGAAAAACTTTGAACTGAACTTAACCAGTCTGGTTTTTACCCAGAAGTGTTTTTGTCCAAAAGAATAACCGCTATATAAGCCCATCACTGCAGACTTTCCACTGTAGCACAGCAAAGGCTTGTCTAAAAGAGACGGTTTTGTCAGACTTCTATGAAAAACTGGAAGCTTCTGACTGCAGTTGCTATCAGGATTGAGTTTGTGTGCTGTCTTTGAAACACTGTGAAGGTTTTGTTGCAAATTGACTGGATTAAGTAATGTCACCTAAAAGGCAGAGTCAAAACAGAGCACAGGTTTCTGAGCTTTACTATGAAGTAGCATAGGATGAAAAGCTCTAACTTTCCGCTACCATGACTTTCACCATCCCTTCCATAACAGTCTTTCCACTTTCTCTGACTGTACATGATACAGCAATGTGTGCAACAGATCTCTTCAGTCGTTTAACTTCTGCTGCAGCTAAGACGACTTCTCCAACATATAAAGGAGATGGAAATCGGATCTCCTGAGAAAGAAATACACAACCTTGACCAGGCATTTTAGTACCTAGAACCGCAGAAATAAGTCCATTGATCAAGACTCCATGTACAATAGTTCTCCCAAACCTAGACTTCTTTGCAAAATCTTCATTTAAATGTAAAGGATTTGTGTCACCTGTTAAATCAGAAAAAGTAACAACATCATTCTGTGTAAAAGCTTTGGTAAGTTCAGCTTTGTCTCCAACTTTTATATGTAAGCGCTGAAGTAAGGGACATCCAAGTAGCGAGCTGATAACTGTTAACTTCGTCAAGGCTCTTTGCTGGAAACGCCCTCCAGAAATTCCATGCCTGAAGAGCAGCAACATCTCAAGCAACTTCTGCTTCTTGCAACCAAGCCAGCAACTGCATAATCAGTCCAGCACTAGTTCTCTACTGTTCCCAGATAACGCAAGAAGAAATGGAGATGTCTAGTTAGGGTGGAAAAAAACAAGACAAAACAGGAGAGTAAAGCACTACAAAAACCATCAAATTCACTCAAGCAAAGCTGAAAATACTTAAATTTCCTTTTTATGTAAAAGATTAAGAGGTCAGAGCTACATCCAAGCAGATTTTTGTTTAGCCATCGCTTTTGAAGTAACGAATTCTTGGAACTCATTTTATGAAACCACATCCTAAGGAAAAATGTAAGCTCTGGAGGCACATGTTCACACACGCATTTTTAAACAAGGTCTGTTGACAGTGACTGTTAGAAGGGGAAAAAATGGGGTAGGGGGAGTAAAAGGTTGAACCAAAACGTGGGCCAAGAACAAAACTTTTACCTTTGCAGATCTATTAATGAGATCAGAACTTATCACTGGAGCGAAACTATAAAGTAAGGAGACAGCAACCACAGTCTGCTTTTACAAGATCACATCCATATTAGCTTAGAGGGAAGAGGCAGACAACCCAGAGATGACAAGTTTAGACACCATTCAGTGTAAGACTGCTTAGGACTGAGATTACTTAAACATAGGCCTACACACCTGCAGTGAAAAGCATTTCACTCCCTAACCACAAAGTTTCTACATGTAAGCTATCTTTCTGTTAAGAGGCAGCCAGGTGATCTTACAGTGAGAATTGACGTTTGGGGGAAGCCATCCAGTCTCCCCAGGGCTTTACCTGTAGCACTCGAAAGGCGCACCTTCTGTTCTGATAGAAGCCCAGCAACGTGAGAGCACTCCACAGCTTGACGAGGCCACTAAGGAACAAGAATATGAAAGAGACTAATAGGATTTCTCTGTCTCAGTTTTCCTGCAGCATAAACAGCTTAAATAAAAGCATGTTACACAAACAGTAATGAAACCTTAACTGAATTTAACAGCAGGTAATTTCATCAATGAGTTCTGGTAGCAGCAACACTATGCCCTAAAGGCTTACTGTAATCACTGCAGTCTTACCCTTGACTTACAGGTGAGGCTTACTGTAACCTTGTCAAATAAACTTTATTGACCCTTTTTCTCAAATTCTTTCTCTGTGTCTTTAAGCTCCTTCTTCCTCTAATTCACCTGCTGTTATCTTCACCATTTAAATCTGATAACCATTGCCTTCGTTTGCTATGGAAAGAGATTTGCGGTCACATATTTCAACAGTGCTTAATTCCTGTCAGATCATTCTGTTCTAAGACAGAAATAATATATTGATCCATGTATGTTATACATTTTAGTAAGTTTTCATGAATGTTCTATGCTTAGATCTAGAAGTTAGGCTTGGTTCTTTGGAAACAGCATACCAACACCACCAGTGGGATTCTGAGCAACCTGAAGATGTCACCTAGACAGTACTGAAACCAAACTAACTTTAACTGATTCAGAAATATTCTTCTATTCCAGAGAATTATTTTCCTGAAGAAAAATTGGCAGAACAAATGAAGATTCACTGTGAACTGAAGTCATCAATTATTAAGATACTAATGCTAGAACGAGATACAATAAATTTGACCCACCTAATAAGAATAGGAGATTGGTCAAGATGATATGATGATTATACCCTTTAGTCATTTGTTTGAAACTCGGCCTCACTTAAAAAATGTGACTGATTAGGCAAGTCACTGAATCAGCACATCAATGAAATCTACATATGCTAAAAGGAATTTGTCACAGTGAAAGCATTTCTGTAGTCTGCTTTTTTATTGCTTTTAAGATAACGTGCCGTGACATTTTTCTTAGTAATATTTAGGGTTTTATTGAACTATCTATTTAACCTGATTTCACAGACAGGGACACAGATAAAGCAACTTGCACATAATCGCACAGGAAGTCAATATCAGAATACGGATTATATCAATTACCCTAGTTCTAGTGTATAGGCTAATGAGTATTTACCTTATAGTACTAACTAATATGAGGTTAAAGATGTGCCAGATCGCAGATAGTTTTTCTTCCCACTTTTTTTTTTTAATTTGTGGTGTGAGACTAGAAATCTTAAGGTAATTATTCTTAGTTTGAGAGTTTTGTTTTCCTATGAAAAATATTTTCACGACAGCCTCTGAAGTGCATACCTACTGTACCTTACCTGCTAGTAACTCTTAATATTGCAGACAAAGTCTTTTCCTCGTATGTTAAGACATCAACAGGCAAAGCTGCTCCAACCTATGCAAAAATATGGCATTATTAAATCAGTTCCTTCCACTGCTTTTGTAGAGGTATATACAGAAGTGATTTTATTATCAGCATGTGACTTTGTTAAAGTTGGTATAGTTAAGCTCAAATCTCATGCGAGCATTTCAGCTGTAACAACACTGCAGTTTTTGTACGCTACCATTCTTCTCAGAACTATATAGGAAAAAGCCACTTTTAGTCCCACGTTAGAGCTGGAGAAACAGAGACCTGGAGATGATGCGACTTGCTCAAAATCATCCAAACAACGCAGTAAACAGAGCAAGAACAGTATTCAGGACTTCCCAGTCCAAGAAGCTGTTTCTTTCCCGTAGCTTTGCTTTTAAACCCTTGCTACAGCAAAAGCACCAATACCCCAAATTCTAAAAAGCAGGTGTTCTGAAATCACTTGATTACCGAAGCTCGGGCAAAACATACAAGCCCAATTTCATTAGGGGCCAAGGTCAAACACGGGCTGGAGAGCAGGTAACGGAGTAGCAGGGAGGAGAGCCGCGGCCCTGAGGACACTTACCCTGCCGCCGCCGCGTGGCCGAGGCCCACGCCTTGCTCACGCTCAGCTCGGACCTCCCGTCGTTAGGCCGAGGAAGCGTTATTCTGCCACACCAGCCCTTGTCAGAGCCCGGCGCTGACCGAGTCC